CATTCCAAAGAAAATTTAAGGCAGTTTCATACATAAGATACACTCAATAAATATTTGATAAATGAAATAAACCAAACTGTCATTACTATGAAATCTACACTTAATTCTGATAACTTTAACTCCAAGGTGCTGGCCTGAGTAAACAGTAGTGACCACCACTTAATATATTCCATTCCTGCTACCCAATAATTCATAAGCCTGCTGTTAAAATCCCATTTTTATTCCCTCCCTCCCTCCCTCCCTTCCTTCCTTTCTTCCTTCCTTCCTTTAAACAACACTTGATTCTAGGCAACTGTAGAAAGGTGAGAGTGAAACTAAATAGATCCAATTTTGGGTGGTTAAAAAAAAGGATTACCCATTACAAAAATGTAAGGGTGACCTCAAAAAATAGGATTGTGATATTACAATACACCACAGATTCAATCAATGTAGCTAAAAGGAGAAAACTGAATTTTTTGTCTTCATACAGAAAAAATAGATCACCCAGTTACATTGTTTACTTCTCTGCAAATAAATTATTTCTAATTGCTGCAATGAAGGTGTTTTCATTTTTTACACTGTATGTATTCCTAAAACCGAAGTCTCTGAGACTGTAACTTTTCATGATATTTCAAATGCAATAATATATACAATCAATCACACTAACTTCTAAATCACTTTTACAGTTTAAATTATGGAGAAAATTTATTTATCATGGCATCAACTTCAAATTCTTAGTAACATTATCTATCATTTTGACCTGAAGAAACGAACAACATGTAAGAAGTAGTACTTCAGTTTTATCCTCCTCATCTTTGTTATAAGATAAAATTTTATCTAAGATTCTAATAACAGAAGGACTGACTTTTAAGAAAGTGAGTTTAGAATTTATCAAAACCTTATATTTAATAAAAGCTGGGAGAATTATCAAATTTTAAAGCCAAATATCAACATCACTTTTTTGACAATATCTTGTGGGAGAGTGAATTGGTAAACTCAGGAAAGCATGTAAGACCACAGCAACTCAGAGCTGTTGAATTTATTCTTTGTCCATTCCTGTTGTACTGCAAAGGATTAAAGAATTTTTCAGGACCAAAATCTAATACAAATTTATTCCTGAAATTTAGTTTACATGTTAATAAAACATGTAATGTTTACTCTCATAACTATCTAGATTGATAGCAAATAAAATATTACCATAAAACCTAGTGAAATATGAATTTTTTCAAGAAGCCCAAAGGTACCTGTCTAAAGCAAGTAATATTAAATATAAAAGTCAAAGGAAGATACCATGGTTAAAAATCAAAATGCAACAACAAAGTAAAAAGGAAATAGTTTGTTGAGGACAAAATTAGATAACTTTAGGGAAGAAGAGAATTCATTAAAAGTTAGTTTCTTCTGGTTTGTTATAATGAATGTTGCTTGCAAAATACAGGACAGGATAAGGTCTCTTAAAATGCTCTGTTATAGAGAAAGTGTGCTGTAACAGAAAATGACTCTTGTGTCATTTGCCCATAAAAAACTATCCTGATTTTATTTGTCTTTTAAAATATATTTTTATTGATTACAGAGAGGAAGGGAGGAGAGATAGAAACACCAATGATAAGAGACATTCATTGATCCTCTGCATCCTACAGACCCCACATTGGGGACCAAACCCACAACCTGGACATGTGCCCTGACTGGGAATTGAACTGTGATCTCCTGCACTGGTTCTCAGGTCCATGCTCAACCACTGTGCCACTCTGGCTGGGCAACTACCCTGATTTTAGAGTCCTCCAAGAAATATCTTTCTACAATTTATATTAAACTTCTGTCAATAACTCCTTTTTATCTGAGGGTGGGAAGCATTTCTGTTTCACTCATTTCTGTATTTCTGTCCCTAGCAGAGTGCTGGAGGCACTGTGCATGAATGTACTCATTTGTTCAATCATTTATTCATTCATTCAGCAAATTATTTACTGGGCATTTACTTTATGCCAGATACTGTGTAAGTAGAGAATTAAGGCACATGACAAATGACAGGGCCCTGCTTATAGCCTAGTGAGGGATTCAGACATTTATCAAATAAATACAGAAACAGTTAAGTTCCTATTGTGATGCCGCTACAAAGGAGAAGTACAGAGGGTGGTGAAGACATCATGGGAACTTACTCTAATTTTAGGAAGGAACGGTCAAGGAGGTCAGGAAAAGTTCCCCTGACATTTAAACTGAGACTTGAAAGTTACTAGAAGTTCCCCAGCTTTGGGAAGGGGAGGAGAAGCAGACAGGCAGGGGGGATAGAACAAAGTCCCCCAAGTCAGGAAAGAGTTTATGTACCTAGTAATTGAAAGGCACAGTAAATGAGAAAGGCTGGGGATAAAGGCAGAGAGCTAGATAGGAGATAAAATATAAATTGTCAGTATAAAACAGAGTAAGAGGGTAACAGTATCTGAATATTTAAGTCACTTAAAGTCTTTTTCTCATGCAAAATAAATAATCTAAGGAAACTGAGTTGGGTCTACAATATTCAAGATCTACAGAAAGAACACCTGCATAATGCCTTGGTTCCACCAGTGACCAGTTACATGTCTTTGCACTTAACTAATCTAAAACTCTTCATTCTCTTTGTAAACAGGTACTCAATATTTTAACTACTGGGAATACAATGATAACACACATATTCTTATGACCTTATATCCTTAAAAACAAAGAGAAAGATGGAATGGGAGACATTCTAAGTCCTGTAAGAGATGATGTCACATGGCTGACACAAGGCTCCAGCAAAATCGCTATAAAAATGCAAGTGCACCCATGAACCTGTGAACCTTAAATTATTCAATGTGCAGATATCCAAAATGACCACAGTATTCCAGTATGTGACTGAAAGATACAGAAACATTACTCCATCATGACAACACAGGTGAAGTATAAAAACTTGATCTCAGAAATGAGAGAAGTTAGTGGTAAAACTAAACGAAGGGAAAAAATAACACATGCTGAGCAAGTGCATTATATTGTTTACTTCCAATTTTCCTGACTTTTACTTCAAAAGCTCATCCCACAACCTCACAGCTGCATGCCAAAAGGCAGAAAAACTCATCTCACACTTCCCCAACAAAAAGTAGATGCCTACATTGCCTTCCATAAAATAACATTCTTGCTTTCCTATCAATCACTCACTCACGTTCAGCGTATGGTCTACTTAAACTACAGCATCCTTCCAATTCAGCACAAAGCCCCCACATAATTCTCCATTTGTTTAGCGGGTCTTCCTTCTTTCTGTACTGCATTCCTCATGGTGCTGTGTTATCCCTGATTTTACTTCATTCTACAGTACTCTACCTCTTTCCTATTTTAAATGTCATATTAATTTCCAGACCATCTTAACTTCAATCATAGGGGAACCTAATACCTCTGATTCTAGAAAATGTTTTTGCGTTCAAAAGGTGACAGTATTAATAACTGCAAAGCACATTCAAAATGCAGCATATTTCGATGTATACAACAGTAAACCAGGACTGATTACCTGCTCTCACCTGACTCTTGTTTATAAACTTACCAAGAAGAAATCCTGAAGTCAATGAACACACTCCAAATTCTATTAAAGAACTAACTACCCAATAATATTCATGAGCTTTAACTGGTCATAGGAACACCTGTACAGGGTAAGACTAGAACAAGTACAGTATTTTCTACTTAATATAAAACACGAATGCCCCATTTTTCCATTCTTTAATTTAAGAATGAGTTAAAAATCATAGATGATGCCAAGAAAAATGAAATGTGTACGAGCCTGGTGTTATTTATGCAAACATCCCAGAGTCAAGAAAACGAGGGGAAAAGAAATTTTTAAAAAATGTGTTATTACCTCCAAGAAATGCAATGTATCTTCTTTCCTAATAATAATCACACTAAACTTTCTTGATGCTGTATTATTTTTGAAAAGTGTAAAATAAGTTTTAAGAAAGAATTTCAATCCCACTGTGGTCAGTTTTATGAAATGAGAGAAGAAAAAAAAACAGTCCTAAGGTAGGAAGGGAAAATAATCACCTTTTAACTAAGGGGTGGGAAGTATTATTTCAACTGACTTTCCCCCATATCACTGTCTACTGTTTAAAGTAGTAGTACAGTCCATCATTTACTATATACTCCTAATAAAAGAAAAAAAAATATGTAAGTTGAAACCAATTTTTTCCCCCAAAAGGTTAGAATGTGTCCTTTTTTTTTTTAATGGAGGAATTCCTCCCCAGTTCAAAAGGTCTTCACCTCACAAATGGCTTCTTAAACATACCTAACATGCTTTCCTTTCCAACTTCCTCCACCCTCTTCAGAAAACACAACCAGCTCTCTCTCCGGGGCAGCAGCCGACCCAGAATCTGGACTGCAAACTCCCATCTGTCCCTCCGGGTGTGACCTTGGGCACCTCACCTCTCCCCTCCGTCTCCCCACCGGCATCCCAAGGCGAACGCTCTCTGCAAGCAGTCGAGGCGCACACGCATCTCAGCAATTACCCCTAAGAGGGTCAGGGCTTTCTGCTCAGGGCAGAGCCACCTCCTTGGAGGGGCCACATCGTGAAACTGGAACTGAATCCCTAGATCCCTGTCCACATTTGACTCCTGCTGGTACAGCTCTCTTTCCCCAAAGGGCATAACCTGAGTCACCCCAACAACAGAGCCCTACGCGCATTTCCCTTCCTCCTCTCCTCCCTATCCTGCTGCTACAGCGGGGAAAAACAGCGGCCTCGCACCCCCCCTCCCCAAGCCACACCTGACGAGGACCCCACCCCAGGTACATCCGCCCCCTCCCTTCTCCGGGGGCACCAGAGGCCAACCTCGCCCTTCCCCTCCGCCCCCACCAAGAGGAGACTTCCTGGAGGCGTCCGGGCCCCGGCGGGGTGAGCGGCGTTTACACACCGCTTTACGCCACTCGCGTAGGGTAGCCTCGCTGACGCCCAGAGGGCCCCGTTCCCAGCCCCGTCCGCTCCGCCTGCCAGAACCAAGCCCGAGTGCCCCCGCCACGGCCCTGGTGTGACCCCAAACCTCTTAGGCTCTGCGCAGGGCTACAGGAACGGAGACGGAACAGCCGCACCTTACCGGCCACTGAGGCACTGACTTCACTTCCCACCTTCGAGCCCTCTTCAACTCCCGGATCAATTCACTCCGGCGACGCCGGAAGGACCCGAGAGGAACCAGGCGTTGTCCGGAATCCTGCCCAGCCGGAGTCGCGCAGGGGCCTATGGGGACTCGTAGTTCCACTCGCCGGCGGCGTCGGCACTTCATGCACCTGCAAGACTACACTTCCCGGCAGGCCGTGCGGTGGAGCCTAAGACGATGGGTGGGGACACTTCTAGCCAATGGGAGGAGAGTTCCCTGCCTTTGCGGGAGTTGGTGAATTGAACTGAGAGGGTGCACGGAAAGAGGAGGAAGGGAGGGGTCAGCTCTCACCTGCGCCAATCAGGGTGCCGGGTCGGCCCGCGGCTACTCACCCATTGTGGGGGCGGGCTAGCGGAGCCCAGGAAGGAAGGGAAGTGGGTGGGTGGGCAGAGTTCAAAGTAGGAACGTAGAGCTACTGAACTGTGGACACGGGCGGAATGGACACATGTGGGGAGTCGCCGGGGTGGAGGGACGGTACAGTGTGGGGACGGTCCCTGGCCCCAGGAGCAGCTTGCACGGAAGCGGCCGGGCCCCACACACATCGGGCGGCCAGACCTGCGAGTCGGGGAGAGAGAGAGGTTGAGCCTGGACTCCTCGCGGAGGTGCCCGGGCGGGGCGGGAGTGGAGGGGGGTTAGCACCGGGTGTGAAGCTACGGAGAGACCGGAGAGAGGTCCCCAGGGAGAGGGACGCAGCCGAATAGCTGCCGAAGTGCAGGGATCGGGAGGTCCCGGGCAGCATCTTCCCGCCGCCTCCAGCCTGGGCAGCTGCGGAACAGCAGGGGGAGGAGCCACGGCCGCCGAATTCGCCAACTAGAGGCGGGGAAGGCGGAGCTTGTGTCCCCGTAGCAGCCGAAGGCGCAGCCTGGACTTAGTTTTCCCGGAGAGAGGAGAGCAGGAACGCGAGAGGAGCGGAGCGGAGCGGGGCGCAGTCCTCTGAGCATCAGCTCCCGCATCCCGCCAGGGCTTGCAGGTGTGTGGGAGGTAAGCCTCGGTGTGTCTTCTGGCGCCTGCACCTTGCCCGGGAGAAAGCTTCTTCCCGTAGGAATTATTTCAAGGCACGGCTACAAAAGAGTCTGTCTGACTCGGATTAAGAGAACTGGTGCAAACCCTTTTAGGTGAAATGTACATTTTTCGACTTTGGCGAGGGGATGGGAAGCAAAAGGTGGCTTGACTCTGGGTATAAAGGGCGTGGCTAATGTTTTTTTGTTTGAGTTGTGCCGTGAAAACTGTTCAGGGAGATTGCAAGATTGAGGGAAAGGATATCCTGTTCATTGAGAACAAGGTGAATGTTAGTTATCTAGATAGGTGCGTAGCTGGTAAAAAAAAAAAAAAAAAGAAAAAGAAAAAGAAAAATTGTCACCGATACAGAATCACTTCCAAACTCTCATTGGGAAAATAACTTTGCATTCTTCAATATCTACCCTTTACATTGTCTTATCAGATTGTCATGCCACCGACCTGTTTTCCCGGGTGGTGGTACTGCAGGTTCCTAGGATTGAAAGAGATTTGTATGAAAGAAGCAAATGCAGGCAGGAATAATCACGATGACTAAACCTATCAGAAGAACTTTTGCCAGCAATAGTGTAGAAATATGTTTTAGTAGATGGATACTTAGCTTTCCGTCCAGCAGCTTTAGACTATTGGAACAAAGACCGGGACTCAGCCTACAGTAGGAACATAGGATGTACTTCATTGCTGCTCCTAATTCTGTCATTTGTACATAACCGGTAATATTTGTACATTACAGAAAACAAACAAAAATAAATTAAAAAGTACAAGGGAAGCTGTAAAAGGATCTTTTCTGCTTAAACAGCATGTGCTAATTGATTACCCTTCGTATGTGTTATGATGGGATCACAATTAAAACACTTGTACTAGTATCATAAAATAAGTTTATTCTTGGTATTAAACCATATATGATGTAATGTAATTAAATACCTATGGTTGAAGGTATGTTTTAATAGTAGATGAAGATGAGAGATGTATCTACCTTTGTGTTACTATGACAATATTGCAGCCTTTCCTTTTTAGAAAAGTATGTAAAAAGCTATTTGCCTAGTACTTTTCCTTTTTGTTAGAGGTTCCCCAGATCACATAGCTTTTAATCATAGTAGCATATTGCAGCACATTTTGCTCTGAAATGTTTTCATTGTGACAGTTGTATATTTCAGAGTTTTCCTGAATATTTTAATCTGGGTTTTTGTTTGTTTGTTTTTTTGAACTCCTGATTACCTTCTATTTTCTTTTTTTTTATGCTTTCTTGATTTTATTTACAAGTTTTGGATTTTTTCTGTAAGGCACACAAAATTCCTTTTTGAAAAGAAATGGCTGGAAGGAACTCTATTCATAGCTTAAAGTTCATTCCTACCAATGTGCTACCATGGTAAACCTAAGTGACTTATCACCATATTTACTCCTCCCCTCCAGTACCCGCTTCCACACTCTCACACACCAGGGAAATATAGAGGCTGACAGGTCTTGGAAAACCAGCTGCCTTTAGCTTGTCCCCAGGCAGATCAGGTAGTTATTAGAAGCAGCTGAGTGTTCAAAAGAAAAAGCAACAGTAGCCACTAAACTTAGCAGCCATGGGTCCAATTTAATCTTTGCTACATCATGGGAGAGTCTATTAATCCACATAGCTGATATGACCCTGTGAAAATGATTTTAGGTGCCTGGGAGGTGGGGGGAGAGGGGAATGGATGCTAGGGTATAGTGGGGCTTGGAAAATATTGTTTGCCCTTGTTATTTGTGATTATGTGGATTGTCCTGAGTCAGTCGTGAATTCTCTCTCAGACTCTGTTAGTGATTCATTCTGTTAAATTGAACACTTGCTGTCAATGGTTTATTTTCCTCATGTAATAATAATAATCGATAACAATACTGGCAATGAAGTTCTTTCAGAGCCTTTATTAAAGATATTTTTGGAAGAGTTTGGTTGGAGATCAGTTAATAACCAAGTAAATGGGAAAGAATAAATATCAAACTGTTGAAATTCAGATGTACTTTGAATCACAACTATGCATATGTCTTCTACTCTGAGCTGTAATGAAGGATAGCATATCATTAGGAAGGAATGAGTTTGTGATATCAAAGCACTGGATTTTTCACCTGTTTCCAAGATGAATTCTTTTTATTATGTCAATGAATGAGATTGGGTTCCCATATCACTTGGGAGAAAGAAGATCATGTTTTTATAAGGGAGGATATCATTAGCAATATATGGTACTTGGGTAGTATATCTTGAACTCTTGGCATATTTTAAATTGATGTTCATATTAAATCTCAGGTAATCTGAAGACATTGATTGTATGTTACTCGTGTTGAGAAGGTTTAGTACAAGGCAGTTCAGAATGTATGTAAAGCACTACCTAGGTTAAAAGCATATTACTGTATTTATTCTGTTCTTGATTTTTATTATTTGTGTATGGCTATCAGTGAATATATGATATGGTGAGAAAGAAAAACAACGGAGTGCAGAATGTCTCTCTTGAATGGAAGATGCTCTGGAGATTAATGTTCTTTAGCCAGACTTGGTTACAAAATATATTTTGGACTGTTTTTTAATTTAAAATTATAACTAAGCCTATTGAGTAGCATGGATTTCTCTTTCTAGCAGGAGGATTCACTGATGACTTAAAGGTTCAAGATCAAATGATTTTGGTGCAGTGGAGTAGGTAGGGTTAGGGGCTTTACCAAGTGGGAATAGATATGAAGAAAACTGAGAAATATATCCTTAGCAAGAACAAAGAGATTTGATTTTTTTTTTAATTAAATGCCTATAAGTGATTCCATGGCCTCCCACCCAATCAGTAATCTTTAGAGGCCTATATCCATAGTGGGATACAGTACTTTCCTACATTGCCATTTTAATTGGAGTCAGACTGACATTAATTCATTAGATTTTTAATAATAATGGGTTATTAAAGGAAAACAGAAAGATCATACATGTATAGTCACTCTAAGTGAAACTTATTATCTGGATATAATATTAAAAAGAAGTAAAAACCTAAAATGATGTTTTGCCCCATAATAACAGAGGTAGTTAAACCAGACACTGAAGATGAACAAGAGTCACACACACACCAGTCCCCTTTTAAACCAAACTCCTAAGGTTAAGAACTGCTTTGGGGATCAGGATTAATTATTATACAAAGATAAAGATATGTCATTTTGTTTTTAATCTTACCTCTTGTTTTCAGAATTTAGTTTTTTTAAAGTTTGGTGAATGTGTTTTAAGTAACTATATTATTAGCTCCTGTAGAATACACACTTTTAAAAAAATAGATTTTTATTGACTTCAGAGAGGAAGGAAGAGGGAGAGAGAGATAGAAAAACCAGTGATGAGAAAGAATCATTGATCGGCTGCCTCCTGCACGCCCCTACTGGGGATGGAGCCTGCAGCCTGGGCATGTGCCCTTGACTAGAATCAAACCTGGGACCCTTTAGTCCACAGGCCCACACTCTATCCACTGAGCCAAACCGGCTAGGACTGGACTATACACTTTTTCTATCTTTTGCTGGTTCTGAGTGCTGCATATCATGCTTAGCATAAAGAAATAGCCCTACCCTTGGCTGGTGTAGCTCACTTGGTTGGGGCATTGTCCACTGCACTGGAGGGTCACCAGTTCTATTCCAGGTCAGGATACATACCCAGGTTGCAGGTTCAGTCCCCTGTCGGGGCACTTATGGGAGGCAATAGATCAATGTTTCTCTCTCTCATTCTCCCGTTCTCTCTCTCTCTCTCTCAAAATAAATAAATAAATAAAAGCCCTAGAACCACCTACTAAATTAGAACCATTGACCAATACTTTTTAAAAAATGTATTGAATTTATTGGTTAATAAGATTATATAGGTTTCTGGTGTATAATTCTATGAATATATCATCTGTATATTGTATTGTGTTCAACACCCAAAGTCAAGTCTCCTTCCATCACCATTTATCCTCCCTTTACCTTCTTCCCTTTTCCACCCCCTTTCCTCTGGTAATCCCATACTGTTGTCTGTGTCTGTGAGTTTATTTGTTTGCTTAATCCTTCACTTTTTTC